CCATGTCCTACCCTGAAGTATTTTAAAATAAGCTTTTTTTTTTTTTTTAGCTTTAATTTTGCTTCTGAATAATTTTTCAAATATGGGGAGTTTTAAAAAGTTTCAACAGTGGAATAAAAATGAAAGGATGAATGCACGTCTGGTGAAGAAATCTGGACATCCTGTGTTGGTGGCAAAAGGAAAGGAGGGGGGGACCAGAGATGCAGTTTTCCTCAAAAATATTTCATTAAAATGAATGAAAAACTAATTCATGTCAAGAGAAGAAGAGGTGACTTGAATTCATTTTTCACAGCAAAGTAATGCTTTTCCATTTTGTAGGGATCTCAGTAAATACTATTAACACATTTTGCACTCTGGGATGCTGAGAAATTACAGTTATACACAAATTCTGTGACAGGACAAAGAATATAAATCAAACCACCACTTTCTAAATGGTATGCCTTCTCCAGCTGTATTCTCCCAATTATTACTGTTCTCACTCATAACTGATGATCATTAGTTATTTTCCCAGTCACTGTAACATCCCTGGAGAGCCCCTCACTGAGTTTAAATGCCGGGAGGGGGTACAGGTAATGCAGGGTCAGTAACATTTGCAGCTGTTCATCTATTTGCTGTTCAGAATATGACTTGGTACCTGCAGCTTACTGAGTTCTGAACACTAACTTTTCAGCACTGCTCAAGGGCAGGAGCAGCAACCAGGAGAGATGAATGTGGGAGGGAGGGAAGGAAGGTGAGGGGGTGGAAAAATGAGCCTGCTTTACTGAATAATGAGGGGAGTAAAAATGAATGGGAAAAGAAAGAGAAAAGCTGGTTTAAATATTTAATCTCTGTTGCATTTGCTTTCGAAGAGGAGACAAAAGCCTTGGAACATCTTTTGTCTTGAACTAATTTTGACCAGAGATGAATGGCATGTGATTGTCACTTCTGTCATTTGCCTTAAGGTGGAGAGAAACAGACTGGTCCTGCTGCATCAGCCCATCACATCAGTCTCTGTCTCCAGCCACGGCCAGTACCTGAAGCTGCAGAAGGCATTAAATTACTCATGACAGTGACAGTTCAGCCTCATGAACCCACATCTCCCCGGATGCTGGTGCCAGCATGGTCAGTGTGCATGCTGCCTGAGAGCTGCACCTGTTTTCAGGGAGGTGGAAGCTCCTTTGAGGGGTCTGAGAAGCAGTTGTGTCTCACCACAGAGCAAATTGCTTCATTTAGGTCTTCCCCATTTGAAACCAGCTGGTTAGTGCAACACATATTAGTTGTATTTTCCCCTTGTATCTCCCCATTCCTCTGTGCATCTTTCTACCCAGCCTCTTTCTGCAACATTTCTCTTCCACTTCCTTTGACTCGCCCTCCCTAGTCCTCCCTCTCTTTCCACCACTGTACAGGCAGAACCAAAAAACATGCAGCTGTCTTGTCTACCAGTCACAGCTGCACCATTTGCAGTACCTTCCAGCTGAGGCAGCCCCACAGATGAGCCAGCAGGACCTGCATGCCAACATCAGACACAGCAGCTACATGTGCTGATGAGCCACTGCATCAACAAACCATGGAACCATAGAATGGTTTGTGTTGGAAGGGACCTTAAAAATCACCTAGTTCCAACCCCTCTGCCACGGCCAGAGACATCTTCCACTAGAACAGGTTGCTCAAAGCCCCATCCAACCTGGTCTTGAATGCTTCCAGGGATAGGTCATCCACAACTTCTTCGGGCAATCTGTGCCAGTGCCCCGCTACTCTCGTAGCAAGTATTTTTTCCCTTAAATCTAATCTGAATTTCTTCTCTTCCAGTTTAAAGTCATTATGCCTTGTCCTATCCCCACTCCATCTTACTGGTAGGCCCTCCTTAGGTACTTGTGCTAAGGTGTTCAGCACAGATTTCTCTTCTCCAGGCTGAGCAACTCCAGATCTCTCAGCCTGTCTTCATAGAAGAGGTTCCATCCCTCTCATCACCTTTGTTGCACTCTAGACCCAATCCAACAGGTCCATGTCCTTGTTGGGGCCCCCAGAGTCGGATGCAGTATTCCAGATGGGGTCTCATGAGAGGTGAGCAGAGGGGCAGAATCACCTCCCTCAACCTGCTGGCCACACTGCTTTTGATACAGCCCAGAATATGGTTGGTTTTCTGGGCTGTAAGTGCACATTGTCGGGTCATGTTGAGCTTTTCATCCACTGATACCCCACGTTGTTCAGTTGATATAACTCATCTTCCACACATTCTGTTTCCCTTGTCTCTCACACTGGACACCCAAAAGCTATGGTCAGTGTCACCCAGTGAGGCAAGCACAGCCCTTTGTAGCAATGGTGGTTCTCTGCAGCCTGTCATCCTAAGAGAAAACCTTAGACAGATAAAAACCTCATTTAGGCTTTCTTTATAGACTGGAGGAGTGGGAGGAAGAAATGCCTCCAGAGAATAATACATTGTAAGCCTGCCTTTTAAATTGGTAAATATCTGTAAGCCCTAAGAAAGGCTGATAGTTTCTGACTAACCAGAGGCAACTGTTGAGACTAGGGACTTTTCCTCTCATTTTGGCAGTGACTTTGTCTCTCTGATTCACTTATTCCCTTTATAACCCTAAAAGCAAAGAGGTGCTGCTATTTCTACTCCTCAGATGGGGACAGATATAACATGACTTCTCCTTCAGAATCCCTCAGGATGCCTTTGAAAAAGTAGGGATTTTTTTTGAGCTCTGGTCTCCTGAGCTGTGGGGGAAAAGTATGAAAGCCTGGCTTTTTGTCAACTCCTTACCTGGGAGCACACCATAGTAAAGGAAGCTAAAAACACCAGTCTAAAAGCCTACAACAATGTCTTCCAAGCCTCTGAAGGTTCATAGTTATCAATTATCTTTTGAAGGTTTACTTCAAAACTAATTTATATTTTTCCTAGCTGTCTGATAAGAGATCAAATAAAGCTAGGGTGAATAGTCAAGTATGTTCCTATTTTATTTTGATATCATTTGAGGAACTCGACTGGCTACTTGAAATGCTGGAGAGAACAGCTGAGTAGGAGTTTGGACGCGGTGAAGCCAGCTAGGCAGGAGTTTTGCATTTGGTTTTCAAAAGAGCTTGAGTAGGCTGAGATTCCAGGCTGATGAGATGGTCTCCTCGATGACTACACTTCTTTCTTGGTAGAGAACTCAGTTCACTTGACATGTGAGCTACAGGGATGAAAGTGGAGTTTATTTTCTGTAGCATTACAGGACTTGACCTTGCTGATTTTTGTGGCAGTTTCTCCTGTGGCAATGATACCAAGATGCTGGTTACTCTGTTTGAATCTAAGCTACACAAATAGCTGACCGGACACCAAAGATGGCAGCTTTTGGTCCAGGTTTGATCTGAACCAATGACTTAGGAATGGGAAGCATCATATCTTATGCCAAAAATTTGTCTGAGCCATAAAAATACTCCTCTGCTTTTTGCCAAAGAAAAAAGGCACAGGAGCTGACAAAGGAGATCTGGTACTGTGGTCTAAAAAGAGCTCAGTTCAAGTCATGACCAATTACCAGTTCGGTACCAGGTGAAACACCAGGAGTGTTTCAATGGTGCTCTGCCGAGCTGTGCCCTTCCTTCCCAAATCTGAAGTTGTTTGCAGGAGCTGCTGCACCCTAAATTTGATCAATGCTGTTTTGCCTTTGTGTTAGCCTGGGAGTCCCCAAATGCACGTCAGGACAGCTCAGGACAGCCATGACCGACCTTAGTGGCAGCTGCTGCCTCTCACAGACAGTTACAGCAGGACTCATCCCACAGCCTGCGCCGTGTCCTTCCATGTCTGTCGGCACAGAGACACTCACAGGAGTGTCAGACCATGTGCCTGCAACAGCCACGAGAGGAGTCCTCCTCGGCAGCTGCTGCGGCTGCTGGCTGTGGATGGCTGCTGTGCGGCGCCAGGAGCGCGGGCAAAGCAGGGAAGCGTTATTCCGAGGGTGGCGACAGAAACCTCCTTGTGCTCCGAGAAGGGGAGAAAAAGCAAAGCGTCTCAGAAATTCCTCCAAAACTACAGGAATTTTTCCACGGGGAATAGGGGGAGAGAAAAGGAGGCGGGGGGGGCAACAAAACTGGAGAGATGTGAAACGTACATGGTAGTTGGAAGAATCTTTGTGTTCAAAAAAGAGTAAATTTGCTCAGAAAAGGAGGAGGATTGCAGGATACCTGAAACTATTTTCGCATTTGGAAGAGTGTGCCTCCCTTCCATTTTCTTATTGTCAAAATACCTTGAAAATCTCAAAGTGTTTTTCTTCCTCTTTCCCCCACCCCACCCCTGATCAGGAGTTTTAGGTGGGAAATGCTGAAATAGTTCATTTCAAATCTTTCAAAGTCAATCTTTTTGACATCTTTTAAAATACACTCATAGATCTAAACTATTACTTTAGCTCAAAAAAGAGAGAAAATTCAAGGTCATTATCAATTAAATAAATTGCAAAGACAATTTTTCATTTGGGGTTTAACAAACTGCTTAGATTCACCCTATTTTTAATTTGTTTCTGTCTGTTTTCTGAGTCTCAGTTCCCCACACGTTCAGTTGTTTGACCTTTTTTTAACATTTCTATTACCCATGTGTAGTTTAGTTTTTCATTTATTTAAATATTAATGAGAGAACAGCAGTTGCACATTATTCTTGTTTCTCAATTAAACCAACCAGCCATTCTAATGTAAATGTTTTTGAGGTTGAGGAAACAGGAGAAAGTATTCCATACAGCAAAAGTATTACAGAAATCATGGACAGAAAGTCCCTACTTGGGGAATGAGTCAATCTACTGCTATCTAGCAGAAAAGATCAGCACGGAAGTATAGAGCCTTTAGAAACAGCTTATGAATTTACAGCTTGCAAAGTAAATGAATTCTCTGTGTCTCTCATACACACACGCTAACTCATTCCCCACACATGCATACATACAGGTCTCTGGTGGAAAGACAGGGAATGTGCAGTCTGCGATGCATATGAACTTTCTGTTTAGAGGAGAAAAGATTTTTCCAATAGGCACAAAATCCCACCCCCTCAGCACCCCTCCTTCCCCTGTGTCTGACACTGACTTCAAGGGAGGAGTTGAGCCAATTATCTGTGAGTCCTGCAGAAGAAAAATCTGCAATTTGCCAGTAGTTGTGAGAGTGAGAAGGAGAAAGGCAGCAAGGGAAGAAGAAAGACTTAATTGGTAAATATAAAGAAAAACCCCTTCTGTCCTAGAAAGAGAATATTTTAAAGCAAATCTCAGACCAGCAGAAAAGAAGCTTGTGCAGAGGGATGTACCAGGCAAGACCTGGGGAAGCATAGACAACTTCTATGCCTGCACTGATCTTTCCCCATAGGGTCTGAGGCAGCATAGAGGCAGGGTGGGCCGGCCAGATGCACCCACTACCCTGCACAACTAGGTCTTGCTCCTGAAATTCTTTCCCCCTCAGCAGAGCCTACGCAACTTGTAAGAAAAGACAGTGAGGGTGGGAGAGACTCTGCTTTTCCTTTTCTCGAACTGAGGCTGTGAAGGAAAAAGCTCATCTCACCAAAGGGAAAAGTTGTCACTGGTTCTGAGACTCTTCTTTAGCCTATGTCGATTGCCTGATCCAGTAATTACCATTCATGGGATAACACCCTCTGGAGCCCTGCAGTCCTTCCCAATCCTGCTAAGTTCTTGGAAAACACTGGAGAAGAACTGAGCCCAGAATAAGCAACGTGGGAGCCACAGAACAACAGCCTTTTACAGCAGCAGCCACCCCTGATTAAAATTATCAGCTTCATCAGACTGCACCAAGATCCAGGACTGCTCCTCCAAGGAAAGAGAGGTAAGAAATCAGCATGGAGTTTGGGATGAAAGTAGGAAACAAACATCCCACAGGAGTGATTTTGGCGTGCATGGAAATTACAGGGACACTAATAGTGATTAACAAGTGACAGGTCTGTTATGCATGATAGCATTTGTGTCTGCCTATGTCCTTTTTAGCTGGGTGCAGTGATTTACTCTGGGGTGGCAAACAGAGACAGAAGCAGTAGCTGGAGATGGAGGAGTGCAAGAGAGGTAGTTCAGAAGTCTGTTCATGGATGGAGAGTGGTAGGGAGCATACGCCCTGATGGGAGGATGGAAAACTAAGGTGCAATAGCTCTTGGTAGGTTGAATGAAGAATATCTTCCTTAGATATCTCTCTCTGGGTGCTCAGAATCAGATTTGTCAGTACCTCACTGGAATTCAGTCGAGCACTCCTCAGAGCATACAAAAGCAGGTTTGTTGTCATTCACCTGATGCCTGCCTATGAAAAGAGCAGTGGTGGTTACCGGGTAGGAGATGACACAGGGAGTCAAGATAAATGGGATTTAATGATTAATTTGTTCTGCTGTTTCAGCTCTCTCTGGGCATATGAGCCTTTCCCTTTATTAAGAGGAGATAACATTAATTGTTTATATTTCTATGGCATTTTGAAATCCCTGCACTGTACCAATATAAAATACTAATGTAAAATTTCTAGCATCAAGCCAGTGTATAAAGCAGAAGGTATCACTGGGAATTAATCTATGCTTAAGAATTTAATAAACTGGAAGGAAAAGATGTAGATTAAAGCCAGCTGGAGCTTGTTTGTCTCCTCATTCTCTTCTGATTGATTTTGCTTTACTTAGTACATGAACATGTGGTCGCTCTCTCTGTTTCTTTTCTTCTGCCTTTAATCTTTTTCAATGTATGAGTGAGTGCCTCTGCTCCCCCCTGCCACCTCTGGGTGTGAATGCTGAAGTTTCATTCCTTTTCTGAAAAGGAAAGAAGGCAGACTGTGTTGAACTGGAGAAAAACTGGAGTGGGGGGATAAGAAGAGAAGGCACAAAACACAGATATAATATCGCAGTTCAACAGCACGCTCTGGAGTCATATTTGCAGGAGAGGTGATGAGTAGCAACTCCATGAGTCAAAGTACTGGAAAGCATTTTTCGACTTCAAGTGAAATGAAAAACAGTTAAGAAAGCACAGGAGTTCTCTTGACTGAATGCCTTGACAGGTGGAACAAGGACAGCGTAAAGTGATCAGGTCCGTCAGCAAGCATGTTCTGTACAGGACATATAAGGCATTTGCTTAAAATGCATAACTGTGCTCAATCCCTGATGCTTTTGCACCGAGTTGTACGAAACTGATCTCTAGCAGGTGTAAACCAACACAGTCCACTCACCCTCATGCAGCTACACTGGTCCATCTCAGTCTGAAGAGCTGACTCACTTCTAGATACTGATGCTGGGCTGTAAAGAAGTTTCTAGTTTTCCTCATTAATCTATCTCCCTATTTTTCTCTGCCAAATAAGCCCGAGAGGGAGAAAGGAAGCATTAAGTCTGTTCACGAATGGAAGACAGTATTGAACTGGCTACGTAGGAAAAGGCAGAGACAACGTACATGGCAGTGTTGTTTCAGAGACTGAGTATGGTGTTTCTGCACTACTGGAGACAGGTCCTGTGGTGACTAGAACACAGAGTCCAGTTCAAATACCAGATAGGTCCTGTTGTAGCTAGAACACAGAGTCCAGTTCAAATACTGATGTGCTGCTTGCTGTCATTCCCACCACAGCAATCCCAACAGTACCATAACTCTGCATGTATGTGTCCTTTCAAAGTTGTGTGCTGACATTACTGTCTGCCTCTAATATCATGCTGTCCTGCCTGCTGACTATAATTCAGAGTGTAAGCTACTCTGAGGAGAGCATTACATTTTCTTTTGTCCTTTAGGTAAGGCTGAGTATGCTGTTGTCATGCGGCAAATTATATTAATAATGATAAATAGTTGTGTTTTGCTATTTCCTTGGGCAATAGCACGGCACTTGGAATGATGCTGGATCAGAATTCCAGAGACTTCTTTATTTAGCAGTGACTGTATCTTCACTGCTGCTTTGGTGCTTAGCACATGTTAAACAAAGTAAAATATTTTAAGCTCTTGACTGAGATAATTGTCAGCCACATAAAAGCCTGGGAGATAAAATTCACTCAGCATAAAGATAGGAATCCAGATCTGGACCCAGAAATGATATTTCAGTGTACATAAAGTACTTGCATTGTAATATTAAATAAACAATACCTAAGTTAAATAAGCGGCATAGTAGGAACTTGATTATTCTTTAATAAGATCCTAGTAACCAAAATAAACTCTTTACAAAATGTGCCTTCTTTGCTCTAACAGTCAGCTTTCCCCCCACAGGGGTTATATTTTTCCTTTCTGCACACAATTCATTTGAACTGGTACACGAAAAATGTCTGAGCATCACTTTTTCTTTCCTATCAAAGTTTTCTGCATCTGAGTGCTGTGTCAAAATGCAATCTCCAAGGTCTCTGACATTTTAGATGTCAGGGGTTGGAAATCATGTCTAAGAGCTATTTAAGATGGCTGTCCTTCATCTTTTCCTCTGCTTGTACTTAGCACCCGCAAAGACCATGACACCCACAAGAGCTGTGTATGTATAAAGACTGAAGCTCCTACGAAATCTACATTTCTGCAGTTCTACCCATGGCCAGCCATCCTGCTGCAATGTTGATAGTTTGCTGATAGGGAATTCCCACACTACCAGTCCAAAGAGTAAGATTAAAATCTTGTTTCTAAAAGGTCACTGAAGGTACAGATGTTTGAATTTATCACCAGCCAGTGCTATTTTGTGACTCACACTCCCTGCACCAGCAATGAAGGTTGCATGGGATCAACTATTTAAAGTTACTGAGATGTCTAGCTGCCACTGATGTTCAGCATGATTTTTGTTTGTGTCCGACTTTTAGTTGATCTCAGAAAACAAGTATCATGCACAACTCCTATTTAGGCAACGAAATGAAGCGATCTAGGTTCTAGTGGCAGCTGCAGTGGATGTAATATATTGGGGAATCTGACCTCTGTGTTTATGTATCTAAATGAGAACCAAGCTCTACTGAAAAATCTGGTAATGTGTAAGTGATGCAGATGGTGGGAAGAAAGTTGGTGTCTAAGTTGAAGCACAGCTGATGAATTTAGCCCTTAATGTTTAGATGAAACAGCAAATTGCAATTCAAAAGTGTGTTATTTTTCAGTGTAAATGCCTTCATTTTTATATTACTTTAAAAGAAAAGAAAAAAAAATACCAACAACAACAACAAAATCAAACAAACAAAAAACCCAAAGCCAAATATTCTCTGGAAATGAGACTGAAAAAGTTTAAGCATTTCCCGTTAAAAGATTTCTGTACGGACCATTCATCTACTAACCAGGACAATGCTCCAGAGCACTCTTTGACAAGCTTGTGGCAAGGAGCTCCCTGTTTTATCTTCCATTTTGTTTCTGATCTTTCCTCCAACTCTGCTCTTTCCTCTTTCAGGATCAAGCAATGATGAAGACCATGTCTGGTGGAAACTGCAACCTGAATGTGCCAGCCAAGAACTCATACCGGATGGTAGTGCTGGGAGCCTCCAGGGTGGGGAAAAGCTCCATCGTCTCACGCTTTCTCAACGGCCGGTTTGAGGATCAGTACACTCCTACCATCGAGGACTTTCATCGCAAGGTCTACAACATCCGGGGAGACATGTATCAGCTGGACATCCTGGACACCTCTGGGAATCACCCTTTCCCTGCTATGAGGAGGCTTTCTATCCTGACAGGTGAGAAAGTCATGGGGAAGTGAGTAGATGGGCAACAGTGGGTGAAAGATCTTAAGGATAGATTATTTTCAAGATTAGCTTGAAAAGTGTAGCATGGAGATGACTTTTTCTTGGGAGGAAGCTAAAGGGACTGCTTGATGTTGTTGCAAGATACACTTCCAGAGAGAGAGATTTCCTGTCTGGGGTGCTCTGGCACTACAGGGAATGCATTAGCCACAGAAGGGAAGTCCACTAGGTGAAGATCTGAAATTGAAATTTCCTTCTAGTTTATTTCCCTTCTGCCTTCCCCTCTTGCTCTGTATTTTTATTGCAGTCACAAATAAATGCCTGAATAAAATCTTGAGGACACAAAGAGCAGAAGAGGGCAAAATAAACATGTCATTATAAAACACATGTAGTGAAAAAAAATGTAAAATGCACAAGAAGGGAATTCTAACCGAGAAAATCCCAAAGAATTTTTTATTCCTAAAATTTCCGGCCCAATTTCTTTGATTTGATATTCCAGTAAAAAGATACCTCTTTAGTCTGTGCTTAATCAAATGTGTTAAAAGGAGGGGAGGGGAAAGGAAAATGGGGGGCTCAGTTTGAACATTCTCACTGTCAAACTGTTCCTGTTGTGAGCTAAAATGAATTTTTTAATTGTAAAAGTAACAGTAGAGATATCTTCAGCCACACCTCACAGCAAACCTACTTTCTGGATTCGCTGTCTACCCTTCTAGCTGGCCAGTGAAACATAAGTTTCACATCTGGCCAGGATAGCATGTGCATTCAGTGAGGTCCTAGGACCAGTTCCTGGGATGCAAATGTGAGCTTTTGTCCCTGAAAGCTCTCTTGGCATGTTCCACATGAATGTCATTCAACAGGCAATGGTTTGCCTTATTTTCTACTTGCATAAGGAATTGTAAGTCAGGAAATGTCAAAAGGAAATGCCAGGGGATCTGTGTCATTTATGTATTTCTTTTTTTCCATGGCCTGTTTCTCTTGAGCAAATGCAACGGCAGCAGAGTACTGCACACTGAGAAACTTCTTATTACTGACTTAGGCATTCAGGACTGACCAACTGTAATCTTTAGTTCAGGTGTTGTTCCATGCATTGTGTAATCAAAAGACCGAGGCTGAGTGGCTACTAGCTCTCCACTCCTACTGGTGTCAGAACAGGCTGTGTTTTACACGGAGATACAAACAAAATTTAGAGAAAGGAAGAGCAGTGCAGCAGAGCTGAGATAGAACCACGTTTACAAAAGAGAGCAAAACACACAATAACTTACAAGCTCAGTGCAAACTAGGAACGTGCTCAGATATCACTGAAGTAACATCATAGCCGAAAGTCTTTTCCGTAGCACTACAGAAAGGTGTGGGGAGTTGAATTAGAAGAACTAAAGTACAGCTGAGTGAATAGATGCCAAAGGAACAACCAAAAAACATGGGGAAGAGATGGCAAATAAACCTATGTCTTTTTCAAAATTTGTTCCTCTGACACTGGCTGCAATGAACAAACCTTTACAGTATCTTTTTTTAAATTGCAGGGGATGTTTTCATCCTGGTATTTAGCCTGGACAACAGAGAATCCTTTGATGAGGTCAAGCGGCTCCAGAAACAGATCCTTGAGGTCAAATCCTGCCTGAAGAACAAGACCAAGGAATCAGCTGACCTCCCTATGGTGATCTGTGGAAACAAAAATGACCACAGTGAAGTCTTCCGCAAGGTACGCACTGATGAAGGTGAGAATCTTGTCTCCAGTGACGAAAACTGTGCTTACTTTGAAGTGTCAGCCAAGAAGAATACCAATGTGGATGAGATGTTCTATGTTCTCTTCAGCATGGCCAAGCTACCTCATGAGATGAGCCCTTCTCTCCACAGGAAGATCTCCATCCAGTATGGTGACACTTTCCAACAGAAATCCTTCCGGATGCGCCGATTCAAGGACATGGGTGCCTATGGCATGATCTCTCCCTTTGCTCGCCGGCCAAGCGTCAACAGCGACCTGAAGTATATCAAATCGAAAGTTCTCCGGGAAGGTCAGTCCAGAGAGAGGGAGAAATGCACAATCCAGTGAAGGAGGCTTGCACTTCTGTCTTAAGTCAACATCCACATGCAGTGCCTTAAAGAAAAAATGGTCCACGGGAACACAGAACGAGTTCATGGGGTTTATTGAGAAAACCCAACGTGGAGAAAGGATAACTCTTCCTGTGGATTCTGCTGAGTCACAAATGTAAATAACATCATCCTTGAAAATGACTGGGAAAAAAGTATACGCCTGAGACACGAGTGCATCTTTTTGTCTCTGTAATGTAGTTCCTCTTCATTCCCCTTTTTGTGTAAAGAACACAGGCCTGAGAAGTAAAGACTTTTCAACCTTATCCTTACAAAGAAAATAGGTCAAAAATGCACAGGAGGCATTAACACTTACCCAGCATGCAGCTCTTGCTAAGAGAGAGGAAGTTATGTGTGTGTGTGTGTGAATCTCTATGTGCCTGTGTGTATGTGTGCATGCATGTGTGGAGCTCTCCTTTTAAAAAGTGGGACTTGCATTTCAAAGGGCAGCAGTCCTAACTGAGGATTCATGGATTGGGAGTGGACTCTACATGTGGATGCATGACTTCCACTCACTTCTGAGGGCACCTGCATTAAGAAGAACTTGATTTTATGTTTGTGGGAACAGTTACCATTTGACATCGACATGAATGTTGGTTTATGTTATAGATTTTATTTGGGATTTGGGGTTTTTTTATTGTCGGGGGTGGATTTTTAGCAAAATCAGATGGTGTGTTTGACATTAAATAGTGTCTGCTTTCTACCACTGAAAGGTGTTTTTCATCTGTAAAATTTTCTAGTATGTACATTGATTGAAAGTGAAATAGTTCTGCAAAAACCAATGCATTTGACAGCTTTTCAAGCCTGGTGTGATATTGTTTCTCAAAGCAGCCACACCAACTCTGAGTACGATAGTACAAATGCCACCCTCTGCCTTGATGGTCACCGGAGTAATGATTTCTTCCTCTGCCTGTATCAGCCGAGAGTGACCAGATTAATATGTAGACTTAGGCCACTTAAGAGGCAGGATTGGGTTGTTCTTCAGAATTAGGAACTGAATGATTATAGGGCCAGCTCCATTGTATTTCTTCTGTTAACATGCCTCTAGTCATTTTGTTCATGTATTCCCCCACTGTCTGATAAAGGTTGCCTGGATGTAAACCTTTGCACTGCAGAAGTTCTTCAGAACAGAAGCTTTGTGCTGGCTGTCCAAACAGGGTTGAACAGACTGGCCAGATAAATCTGGGGCTGTACATTCACTTCTTTCCTTTCTCAGCTCAGTACAGGCTTCCTTGTCTTCATCTCTCTCCCTGTTCTGCTTTTGGCTCTGTTGTTTGATGAGTTCCTGTATGCCCTCAAAGCCCAATATATTCTCTCAGATATGAGCCTACCACTCTTGCTGACTGAAATGAGATGTGTGCACACATATCTGTGAGCAAAGCATGGCCCCAAGACTGTACACAACAGTAGAATATGTATGTTATATATACCTCAGATATATTCTCCCTTTCTCACCCTCAGTTTCTGTTCTTGGCTGTGGCTGCCTTGCTGTGTCTTGGGCAGAGCTGTGAGCTAGTTCGTGCTATAATTTGACAGGAAACCAAGAATGATGATTGTCTGTAAAAATTAGCCTCTGGGACGCAAAATCCCATATTCATTTATCAGCTCCACCCTTCATTGGTACTGTATATTGACTGGTAAAATACACTGTTCTTTTATTCCTGTTGCCAAGGCAGCATCTTTCTGATCATGTCTCCCTCCCTCTCTATAAATATGTAAATGGTTTATGATTAAACCTGGTTTATTTATTACCTGTGTCCTGGTCTTTTATACTTCCTCCAAGGATAAGGAGGAAGGTCCAGTTTTTGTGTTGTGCCGGTACATCAAGGCAAGTGAGTTCTGGGTTACAAGTCCTGATGAGATCTCCAGTAAGTTCTGGAAGAACCTTCTAAGTCCTCCAGACACCAGGGGCTACACACTTGTCAGTTTGGAATAGAATTATATCCACATCTATCTATCTGTCTATCTATTTGAACATTAACTTATATATACAGATATCTGCAGAGGCCCACAGTTACTCTTCCCCATGCTGCCTCCAACACAAGAAAACAACAACTCTGTTCTTCATGCACAGAGCTGATATGCTGATCTTTGGTGTGACTTAATGTGGTCTCTGCAGACACATCACTGGTTATTTTCTTAGCAGTCTCTCCCTCTCGCCATTCACACATCCCAGCTGTTTGAGCCTTGGTCCCCCAGAGCACATGCCCACGTCTCTACAAACTCTCCACCCAAGTGCATGACTCTGGGATTCGTGTGCCACAAGGACATGGAGGGGTTTTGAAGATGGAGTAAAAAGGGCACAAGTGTGAACATTGGTTGGGTTAAGAGGCTTTGGGAAGCTAAATGAGAACTCCTCGTACTATAGACCAGGTCCTTCCTTACTGAGCCTATATCTGCTCTCCCTGGCCTGCTGGATAAAGCTGAATTTCAAGAGTCTTCATAATCAAGTCTCTGCCTTTGTCTAAAAACATTGACCTTACAATTATTTTGCCTACTCTCCTTCCATCTCCCTGAAGACACCAGCTTTCCTCACCCTTCCATGTCCTCCCATTCCTGCCTTTTCCACCATGGATACAAAGGCACCTAGTGTGGAAAAACAGTGTTGCAGAGACAACAAAGGCACAAGAATAGGGGAGGCTGAAGACCAAGGTGCTCACAGAGATAGGTTGGATCCCATGGAGAGGCCAGTGAGCCCCAGCTTCACAGTCCAGCTTGGCTGGCCAAGGCTCAGGGTGAGAAGCATCTGAGAAACTGGCTGGGAATGAGGGTGAAACAGTATTACAGTCACCCACAAAAACAAATGGCAATAAGCAGATAATCTCATTAAAGTAATCCTAGTCTTCTCATTGCATTTTGTTACTGATGGTAATTGCTTTTGAAGTTAGATTATTGTGCTCCTGAGGATATTTTTTTTTCTTTTATTATATCATTACAGTCATTCTATTAATATCTATATATTATTTGAGCTCTAGAAGTTCTTACAGCGCCTAAACCAGACAGTATGTGTATCAGTTGTTTATTCACAGTTAGCAGCCATTATGTTCTGTGAAAAAGGCTGGGACTGGAAAACAGAGAGCAAGGCTACCTTCCTGCACAGGGGGTATAAGGTAAGGCAGGAAGAGGAAAGGCGAATTACTTCTTCCCTGTTAACCACTGAATGTGTCTGACTGTAAGGTAGAACAGGGGAGGGCTTTATGAGAAACTCTATTACGTGTGTACAGAAACTGCAAGACCCTGAAAGGAGCAAAGACCAGACCTACAGCCAGGTCTCAGAGGCAATGGAAAGAGAAACAGTCTTTTTTTCCCCCCCCTTGGGATTCAAGGCACCTGCATAGAACTTACTGCAATCCAAGAAGTCACGAAAATGCACAGGACTAAGGGCAAGTCTGGAGGAAAGGATCTGTGGAAAAGATGCTGAGAGCTAGTGTATCTTTACTTGGTCTTACCTGGTGTAATTGAGTTGCTTTATTACAATAGCTACCTTGTCCTATATTGCAGTATATAAACCCAAACATTAGTGATACAATGCCTTGCTGATGTTTTTGTGTGCTTACTTTCAGAACATCTAGCAGGGACCTGACTGAGGATCAATCACAGTCCTGGAACAAGACAGGACTGAGATTTATTTTGTATATTGCTCAATACAGCAAGAAAGTCCTTGTCCTGAAGAAATTGCAAGTCAACACATAGGAGCTACTATAAATATTGGTAAAAATCTAATTAAGCCACAGGAAATCAGGAAAGAAACACTGGTTCATGGTGAATTAAGTAAAAAACAAACTGAGTGTAGGAAGGACAGAGTGAAGGCCTGTTTTGATATCCAAAGGACTAAATTAGGCTTCTGTTCTGAAGGATCCCCAGGAGAACTGCTGCCACCAGGCCAGCCTGATGGTAGAGAGAGGCTTTCATGATGCAGCCTCGCAAAGAGTATTGTCTCCTTGAGACCCTGGGGTACAATATGTCTGATTGTCCAGGAGGTCAAAGGGCTTTTACAAAGGCAAGTAGGAAATGGTGGGATAATTTTTAAAAGGGTAGCAGAAAGGAGCTTCAAAAGGGGGCTAAAAAATGTAGGAAAGCAATAGGAGGTTGTGCATGTAAAGAAACAAAAAGATAGGCTAAAATGTATTCTATAAATCGCACCTTTCATTTCCTACTTCTTTACAAACAAGTAAAATGTGAAGAAATTTTATTTAGCTTTTTTGTCCTTCCTCAGATGTTAGCTGCTGCTTACCACTGTGAAGAACCCACCCCCCACCTCTCATCACACCTTTTGCTGCCTTAGATTTACTCTCCTGTCATGCACCTTATTATGGGTTGCCTTACTAGCCCTGTGCCAGTGTCTTGGCTAGGGCAGAAGCTTACAAGCAGAGGTGTTTTTGAAGTCACTGATGATTATTTGATGCAATTTGAAATCACTATTACACTCAGGAACTTTACTAGCATTATTGTTTCTGTAAAATTACATGGCGGCAGGCTCAGATTAAACGGTCTCCTTGAAAAAGTATGTAAAACATGAGATAATGTACATTTTCCCCACTGGTTTCTATAGCAACAGCCTTTTCTCTGCACTCAAAAAGAGCAGAGAATTTGCAGGGGGGAGATGGGTAGCAGTGGCTCTGCCCTAGATCTTTCAACTCTGAGTCCTCTTGGGAAATTTTCCTCCCTTCAGTTTCTCTTATGTGGAGAAACAAAGACCACCAGCCAGACCCACTTCATAGACAAGTCAATATGTCTCGTAAAGCTGTGGGATGGATATGCTACCATAGATAAGAAAGCCATTGCCATGATGTGATTGTAAACTGCAGCATTGCTCCTGGCACAGTATCTGATACAGGGAATACACATCCTAAACTGCTGTAAACCCAGCTTCTGTACTCAGGTTTGATTAGAGCTAGCTGTGAGCCTTGCCCAACTTCTCTCTAACCTGTGTCTGGTACAGTCTCAGCCTGAGACTTCCCAGAGAAACATTTCCTTTTGCTCTCATGACAACATCACCCAAAGACCTTTCCTTGCCTCTATCATCACTGGTCATCCATAGCATGCAGAACCACCCTAGGTCCCAGGCATCATGTTCCTAGAAAGTTATTAACAGTTTGGGAGGAGGCCAAGAATTAGCAAGAAAAACATTTCATGAGCCTAAAGGGATTGACTTGAGTAAGCCTAAGAAAACTCTGAAAGGGATAATTCTGTGCCATGTAGACAAACAAAGTCTGAGATAGACTGGCTGAAAACACCCAGATGTGTTTGAAAGGTGGAGATGACAACTGAGACAGCCTTTTATTTAGAGTTGGACATGGGGACAGCTCAGTGGGAACAGGAGTATTAAGCAAGAAAATATAGGCAAGACAGCAGTGAAGACTTTAGGGCAGTGGAATTTATTGGAAACTTTTCTAAGTGATGTCATGAAAGTCCCATTAGGAAAACACAGGGAAAAACATTGAAATCTACATAGCCAGCAGGGGTAACTTGCTGTTGGCAGTGTGTTGGACTGACTGAGCCACTAGGTTATTTTGATCCCACACTTGTTGCTGTGACGGACTCTGATCCCAAGTCTGCTTCAAAGAAATCTCCTGAGTGTCTGTCCTCACTGCAAGCTCCTGGCCCCCAAGTGGAAGATTGATAGCTCATTGGTCCCTTCCCAGCAGACCCCTAACAATAGAGACCAGACTTCTTATGTCAGACTCTGCTTTTCGGAGCACTTTCAGAAAGATCCCTGGACTGTTTGCAGCAGACAGTTCCTTTGGTGAATTGTCCATGAAAGGTTTCTTGTGCATTTGTTTATTGTTCAGAAGTATTTGATGACTTATTAATGCAAATATGTCCTGTGCTTTAGCTGGGGTGGATAACTAAGATTATTAGTTCATAGTAAACACGAAGAGAAGGAGGAATTAGGTCACTGTGTTTCAGGACATCGTGTAGCAAAGTAAAATAATATAAAAGGAAAAAAAACCTCCATTGACACATTGAATATGTGTCCTCACACTACTCTGACCTGGAGGGAAGCAACTCCCTCTCTCCAGTACATTCTTCCACTCCAAGATCTTGAAGGAGGCATTCCAGATGGACTGTTATTTATTCAAGACTCTCCTTTCACAAGCATTTGGCTTTCAGCATTTAGTATAGAACACCAACTCACACATGAGAGCCCTGAATATTTTACATGGGTTTTAATGATATGTCTTGAGTCCATATTTTGAGGTTAAAAAACAAATCAAAATAAAAACCTCTACAGTTTCTACAGTTGTGTTAGATGAAGGGGTAAGGGTGGATAATTCTAGCTGCAAGAAACAGTTCCTTCATGCATCATGACCTTACCTGGAAAACTGCACAACTCTATTAAACTGGGACTTGAGGTCCTTCTGTATTACACTGGGAACTAAAGCCACACAGAAGCACAAGAAACATATTCCCAGCAGTGGAGTTGAATCTTGCATTTCAGAACCCACTAGCATCAGGACTGTGACAGATCCCAACTAGTTCTTCACTGTCTTTGCAAAGCTCCCAGGAGTTTCAGAGTTAAAGTAGGTTCAAACTGGTAAAATAACTGTGTGTTAGGTACCATGGATTTCTGTCTTACTCTTCAGGTCAGAGATCTAAAAGGCCTAGGAACAGTTCTACCAGTTTCCAAACTTTACCTAAATCAGCATCTTGGTTTCCCATCCCTGATGAAGAGCCAATAGCACTCATGGGAGAGCTGAGAGAGGATAAGCATCTTCTAGATTGCGAGGCACTCGGGCACCACAAT